TCACCTCCATCACCACATCACTGGAAGGACACTGTTCCATGCAAACACAAATGGGCACTTCCCATGCAGCTGGAGAGCAAGAAAACAAGTGGGACCAAATATATCCAGGTACACAGCAGGACCCCTCAAGATGCAACTCCCAGGTTGTACTACGGTCCTCCTGATATTCTTCTAACTAGAATTACCCTGTGACGCCAGTCAGGGGCAACCTCATTGGCTCTGTCTTCTTTGAGGCGGCTGAAGAAAGTAAATCCTCCTCAGACGTAAAAACATCGAGGAGGAGAGGTAACGACACAAGCTGGAATACAGGGAATTCAAACATGAAAGAATAAACACATTATTATCTTTAGCATTAAGGTGATACAACACTAGAAGTGGGATCAGGGAGGTTGTAGAATGTCCATTCCCGGAGATGTATTCAAAAGCATCACTAGACAAGGCCACCCTCACCACCTACCCTCAGCACCAGATTGCACTTGGGACTTCCAAAGCAAAATAGACCATTGAGAAATAATTTTAAAAAATGGAAAGAAATTATGCACTCACAGTGATAAAAAGAGAGAGAGAAACTGAGAAGTTCCAGTAGTATGAGGACATAACATAAGACAGAAGCATTTCACCATGCAAACACTGGAAATTGGAAAAATGGAATTGTTTGTTAAGGACCTTTTCCTCCATGCAGCACGAGACAGCAGTCATGAAAAATTCCTCAACTGGCAAAAAGAGTAAAAATCACCCTATACAAAAATATTTCTGGCTGCATCCCCTTCATTCAATAAACAAAAGCTTAGAAAAGACTTCTTATCTCCCATTGCGAAGGTTCAAACAGAGAAAAGGGAAGCAATGAGATTTTAGAAGTTTCATCAATAAACATTCAATGCTCAAGTGCTTAGACCCAGAGCTACCTCCTCAAATGACGTCTCGACTTGGAGAGTTCCTGAGATTCCCAAGAAATACACCATTTTACAAATCATCCAAAATGTAAAAAGAAATTATGTATTGACACAAAAGTGAAGATGACAAATACACCAAAACTAAAAAAATTCACAACCATTACTGGCATATTACATAAGGAAAAGAGACTTGGTCAGGAAGGGAAATTCAGCGGAACACAACAGTCATCAGAGTTCGCCCAGGAGGGAAAGGAGAAACCACAAAAAAACCATCAACAGCAAAACTGCCCCATGTTGCTATCCCAACTACAGCCAACCTCCCCCCAACATGCCACTGCCCTCCCCAAGCACAGCTACCCTGCCAATGCACTTCCTCAAGGCCACCACAGCCCCCAGTCAAAGTTGAAAACCACAGTGGAAAACTTGCTGCAATCAGAAAGTGAGGAAAGGAAAGCTATGACAACACATTAAGCTGCTCACCTGGCAGCACACCAACACAGTGCCCACCCATACTACCGCCAAGCCTGACCAGGCTCATCCACCCAGCACCCACAGCCCCATCATGGCTATGCTCACAACCCCATAGCCCTGCCTGTGGCATGGCACCCTGGTGCTCCTGCTGGGTCTCACCACCACTCTCATTCATCCCTGTGACACCACCTTCCCCTGGGACAGCCTCCAGCTCTTCCAGGTCATGGCTCCCAGCATGCCACAGCCTTACCACCACCAGCAGGCACCCTTCCTCTTCCCCAAAACCCTCCTCCACACCTGCAGCAGCTGCTGCCACCACACTATATCCTCCAGCAACTCTTCATCACCCTCAGCAGCTCAAACACCCCTGCCCATCACCACTGGGACGCTGAGACACAGCATCAGTTTCCTGCACCACATCCAGCAGCTTGGGCAGTATGTGCCAGCCAATGGCATACTCTTCAAAGGCCAAGGGCCCTGCAACCTGCTGCTCAGCATCAACAAATATTTTGGGTGCATCCAGGACTTCCTCTGCACCCACCACCACAAACCCTGTGCCTGGGACCACATCTGCCTAGAAGCTCATGCCTGCTTCCAACACCTTCACAACACCTGCATCATGCGTGATTAGCCCAACTACCCCAACCAACACATAGAGCCCCATCCATGCCACCACCACCACTTCTGGACCACTGCCCCATCCCCACCCCTGTCCTCCTACCTCCCATGACTGGTGGCAGCAGCCACCACAAGAACATCTATGGACCCTGAGCCTCCACTGACTACTCATCTATTCTATTTAATTTGACAAGAGTTTTTAACTATTTATTCACCTATTTATTCAACAGAAAATAAAGACCTGTTACAAAAAAGCATGTCAGTGCCTCTTGTCTCAGAAGCACAGGAACAAGCCTTTGGGGTGGGAGAAAGTGACCTCTACTCAACACCTGCTCCAAACAGAACTCTGCAGACCCCATGCTCCACAGCCCTGTCCACTCTTCGTTTTGGCATGTCCCCAAGAATGAACCTCTTTGGAAAACCTCTGCCAGGGTTTAGCCATCATCATCAGAATCATCTCTTTAGTCTGTATCTCCTCAACATTTTCCACCTTCTGTCTTGATTTAGACCAACTAATCATTAGCTCTGGAGTCCTCAGTAAAAGGAAGACATGGACCTGTTGGAGAGAGTTGGAGTTGTTCAACCTGGAGAAGAGAAGGCTCCAGGGGAGACTTTATTGTGGCCTTTCAACACTTAAAGGGGACTTATAAGACAGATGGGGACAGACTTTTTAATACATCCTGTTGCAATAGGACAAGGGGTAAAGGTTTTAAACTAAAAGAGGGTAGATTCAAACTAGATATAAGGAAGACTTTTTTTATTATGAGGATGGTAAAACACTGGTACAGGTTGCCCAGAGAGGTGGTGGATGTCCCATCCCTGGAAACATTCAAGGCCAAGTTAGATGGGGCTCTGAGCAACCTGATCTAGTTGAAGATGTCCCTGCTCATCGTTGGGAGATTGGACTAGATGACCTTTAAAGGTCCCTTTCAACCCAACCCATTCTATGATTACATGAAGGAGAGCCACAGCAGAGATCACTTTTCATGACAAATGTCTCATTGTGTTGCTTGAAAACACCTTACAGCCATGAGCTATTCTAGGGCAACACAGACAAGGTCCAGCCATGGCCTCCTGCAGGGATAGCACCTAGGTATGCCAGCACCCCAAGGCAGCACCCCCCAACACAACATTGCCTGACGAGACCATGGCTCCCAGCCCATCACCACCACCACACACACATCTCCCCTGCTCCAAAAGCTTTGATAAAACATGTGATAATGGCTCTCATAGAAGCAGAACGTGATCCCTACTGTTGTAGGGGACCTTAAAACTTCAGCAAGTGAAACTGCCACCTCCTTCTCCTCCTACTAGAGCTTTATAACTAGATTAGTTGGTTCAGCTCCACCTCCAAAAGACTCTTGGACACCCCTCCTCTAGGGGTACAGGGGCTCAAGGCCATCCCAAACGCAAGACCCTTTGTTTACAAACAGCCTCACAGGGGGCATTTTCTTCTTTGCTCTCCAGCCACCTCAGGCAAGGAGGTAGAGAAAGCACAAGACTCCTGCTATAGGTACACACACATGGGACCACAGTCGGGGACCCAACCCAGTAAGAGGAGGAGCAATATATATATATCTGAAGGAAAAGCCTTTCTTATTCATTCTCAGGAGCTTCAAACACAGGCAGCTGTATCCAGGAACACATCCAACAATCAAGTGCCTACACCCAGAGCCACCTCCTTGGAAGCCGCCACTGCCGTCACCCCCCCAGGCCCTTGCTCCAGGAGGGGGTTCCCCAGACTCTTCCAAACAACATAATTTCAGAATCCTTCCAAATGTGAAAAGATCAGCTAATATGAAAACAAAGGCACACAAGGGAAAGGAAAACAGACCACAACCAACACCAGGACATTACAGACAGAAAAGAGACTCGGGCAGGAAGGGAAAGTTCAGCTGCAGAAAAGACAACCACTTCCCTGGGTAGCCTGCTCCAATGCTTGACAATCCTTTCTGTGAAGAAGTTTTTCCTAATATCCAATCTAAACCTCTTCTGGAGCAACTTGAGGCCATTTCCTCTTGTCCTATCACTTGTTACATGGGAGAAGAGACCAACATCCACCTCTCTACAACCTCCTTTCAAGTCTCCTAAACTTCATTTTCTCCAGGCTTAAAAACACCAGTTCCCTCAGCCATGCCTCCTAAGACCAGACATAACTGTACCAAGAAATCCACACTCCTGACTAGCATTTTCAGCATGCTTTATTTGTTGAATTATAAAATAAAGTTGCCTGAGTTTGAGACAGGGTTTTGTCTGGGATATCCCTGTACTCATCTTTGACTGTCTGACTCTGGTTATCCCCAGACTCCACATTAAAGACCTGGTTCTGACTTGGACCTTTATCTATGGCATCCATTCAGTGATATTTCTTTTCAGATCACTGCTCATTGCTCCATTTCTGCCTCTATAAATACACTGCATCACTTAATCCTGTGACTTTTCTCAGTAACATACTACCAAATGTTCCCTTCAAGACCCTTATTCTACTTTTCTGAAAAAAAAAAATAAATATTTTCCTTTTCCACAATCTAGGTTGAGGTTTTTTGTGAAAACTTCATATACTCTCCCTCCTGCAGCTCACCTGCATTTGTTGCTGTGATGCACACACAGAGACCTGCACCTATGAGTGCCTCCAAAACCTGTCAGAAGCACCTACTGGCTGCCAATTTGTATACTTGTTGTTCAACCCTACCTCTTGGTAAAAAAACATTGACACTCAGACTTCGACTAGATTTGACAAGATGTCATACTCTAACTAGAACAACAATTAAAAATTTCTCCACTCAGAAGTACAGAGCACATTTGCTTCTATTTGCAAATACACAAATGCATAATGCAACAGTTTTGCTGTATCAATTTACACCACCAAGAAAACTGTTTGTGGATAATTAAAAAAACAGAATATAGAATATAAAGATAAGCTCTTAATCACCATTAAATGAACTAAATTGCATTGCACAAATGATCAACACTGAAAATAACTTTTCTAAAATGAAATAAACCAAGCCATTTACTTACCATTGGCAGCCTGGGCTGAAGCATCTGGAGATCATCATAACCATAAATCTGCTTAAAGACAGATAAAAATAAAACATCATTATAACACTTGTCTCTGATGCTGATCAATTTGGAGCTCTGTTTAAACAGAGTTTGACCTAGGTCCAGTCTATTTTAAAGGTGTACAGCTATATGTTGCATTGTGCTATCATGGTCTACTGTAGCATTTTAAGGCTAGTAGAGCTAAGTTTAAAATGGTTTTTTAATCTGATGTTGTTTCCTCGTGACAGCAGTCCTCTGAGGAGTGTATTACTGTTCCATGTTCAATACAGTTTTTGCAGATGCATCATTCATCAAGTTGTGAAAAATCTACAGGGCATTCAGATTTGGGAGTAAGAGAAATGGCCTTCTTTGCTGTAATCATTACTTCTGAGAATAGCATAGATTTGATGACTAGATCACAAAGCAACCCTTGCATTTGGTGTGATATAGAAAAATTATTAGAATAAAGTTTCTGATTCAAAAACCAGATAACCAAAAATATGCTGATCCTGGTCAGACACCAAAAAGCTATGTGCAATCTTCCAAAGTATGACAGACAGGACACATGGCACATTTCAACCATTACTATGTGCTATCTATTACTATTACATCACTATATGTCTTGGTTTACTAACAATATGTTCCAGGAGGCAGGACCTCCGATGGAATAAACCCTCTCCCTTGAATTATGAAATTTTTTTGAAATTACGAGGCATTCAAGTGAAGTATGAAAATTAATAACAGTTTTACTAAAAAAGGAGAACAAGAAAGAACAAAACAAAAAAAACAAACAATAACAGAAAAGAATGTCACCTAAAACCACTCTTTCAGTGTATGCTGCCAAGACGGCAACGCAGTCCCAACAGAGGTCATGTGTGGAGGTGAGGGGGAGGAAGTACTGGTGTACTGGTGTGGGGGGAAGTACTGGTGTGCAGAGCGGCACCGGCAGTGCGGAGCGAGCAGCAGCAGTGGGCAGTGGTGACAGCTGCAAGCGACCCTACTCTAAGGCAGAAGCAGTGGCAGCAGTGGCAGGGATGGTTGCAGCGTGGTTCAAAGGCGCAGCCCAGCTGAGCAGCAACAGCAGTACCAAGGTGGGAAAAACAGCCAGAGACCAGAACCATGATGAGGGAGAGAGCAGCCCAACTGTGCTCACTCCTGCCCTCGCACCCCCCACCGGAACCAGAGAGAGTGTGTTCCTGGCCTGCTAGCAAATTTATCCTATTAAGTTCTTGCCGTATTTCCCATCAGGACCCTTCATCCCTCCCTGCCTCCACCCTGCGCAGGGAAAGAGAGGGGAGGTGTCCCCTGCGCTCTCCAAAACCATGTGATGATATGAAAAAATTCAACAAGAAAATCTTCATTTAGCTAAACCATAACATTATCCAATGCAATTTTTTTCATACCATCATGCTATACCAAATTTGAACTTTCCAACTATACACATACACACATTATTCCACTTATATACACATTTACAAGTATATACATACAGGCACAGTGGACAGTTTTACAAAAAATTAGGTCCCCCCGAGGAAGTATACATCGTGTTTCTCCATCTTTCTGCATCACCCACCATGTGCAACCCATCCCTCAAGCAAAAACAATCCTACAAACAGGTTTGCTTTTGCTTGGGGTGGGACAAAACCAAACCATTTTCCCTAACATAACTCTCAGGTGCACTATGGGGACTTTATCTCCCTCTACGGTGTGAAGGGACTCTGATTGGGCAGGGCTGACTTGGTTGACAGAGCCTCTAGTACTGATTAACCAAGTAGCCTTTGCTAAATGCTGATGCCAGTGCTTGAAAGTCTCCCTACCCAATGCCTTCAAAGTAGTTTTCAACAGTAAATTACACCATTCAACCTTCCCAGCGGCTGGTGCATGATAGGGAATATGATATACCCACTCAATACCCTGCTCTTTAGCCCAGGTGGCAACTAGGCTATTCTTGAAATGAGTCCCATTGTCTGACTCAATTCGCTCTGGGATGTCATAACACAGGACTTGCTCTTTGAGGTCCAGGATGGTGTTCCGGGTAGTGGCTTGAGGCACAGAGTACGTTTCCAGCCATCTGTTGGTTGCTTCCACCATGGTGAGCACATAGAGCTTACCTTGGCGAGTTTGCGACGGTGTGATGCAATCAATCTACCAGGTCTCTCCATATCTATACTTGGTCCATCACCCACCATACCACAGGGGTTTTACTTTCTTAGCCTGCTTGATTGCAGTGCATGTTTCACAATCGTGGATAACCTGGGAGAGAGTGTCCATGGTTAAATCCACCCCTTGGTCTCACACCCACCTGATGACCTGAGGCATCATGGGCCCATCGAGCTAGGAACAACTCTCCCTTGTCCTGCCAATCAAGGTCTAACTGTGACACTTTGACTCGGGCAGCTCAGTCTGCCTGTTCTTCATTTGCTTGGTTTTTGGGCACGTGTGCATCTATGTGGCAGACTCCCACAATCAGCTTCTCTACCTGGGTCACATTTCAGAAGCCCAGATGGGTTTCCCTTTACATTGCCAATTGTCCTTCTTCCATCTCTCCAGCCACCCCCACAGAGCATTGGCCACCATGCACGAGCCAGTGTAGAGGTAAAGTCTTGGCCACTTCTCTTGTTCAGCAATATCCAAAGCCAGCTGGACGGCTCTGAGCTCTGTGACTTCATCCACCTTTTCCTTCCACAGCTTTTGATACTCGTCATGTGGGCCTCCATACAGCTGCTTTCCATTTCCAGTTCATGCCTACAATGCAACAGCAACCATCAGTGAAAAGAGTGCAGAGCTTTTTGTCCTCTGGCAGTTGGTTGTATGGTGGAGCTTCCTCAGCACATGCCACCTGTTCTACTTCATCTACCAGACCAAAATTCTCACCTTCAGACCAATTTGTAATTATCTCCAAGATCCCAGGGCGATTAGGGTTCCTGATTCTGGTGAGCTGCATGATCAAGGCAATCCACTTCATGTAGCGTGGAAGGATCTTTTCCCTTGAACATCCACCCCAGCACTTGTAGTCGGGGTGCCAGGAGAAGCTGTGCTTCCGTGCTGATCACTACTGAGGTGGTTTGAACTCCTTCATAGACTGCTAGAATCTCCTTCTCCATTGGAGTGTAGTTGGCCTCAGATCCTCTATAGCTTTGGCTCCAGAATCCAAGTGGTCTCCCCAGGCACCTTCTGCCAGAGGCTCCAGGAAGGACCATTTTCCCCAGCTCCAGAGTAGAGCACGTTCTTTACCTCCGGTCCTGTCCTGACTGTACCAAGGGCTACAGCATCAGCGATCTCCTATTTCATCTGTTCAAAGGCTTGTTGCTGTTTGGGGCCCCACTGGTAATCATTCTTCTCGCGTGTTACAAAGTAGAGAGGACTTACAGTCTGGCTGTATTCTGGGATGTGCATCCTCCAGAAACCTATGGTGCCTTGGAAAGCTTGCATTTCCTTCTTGTTGGTCACTGGAGACATTGCTGTTATCTTGTTGATGACTTCTGTTGGGATCTGATGGCGTCTGTCCTGCCACTTCACTCCCAGGAATTGGATTTCTCTGGCAGGTCCCTTGACCTTACTCCATTTGGTGGCAAACCTGGCTTTCAGGAGAATCTGGATGATCTTCTTTCTTAAAGACTTCTTCTGACACATTCCCCCATACAATGATGTCATCGATGTACTGCAGGTGTTCTGGAGCCTCACCTTTCTCTAGTGTAGCCTGGATCAGTCCGTGGCAGATGGTGGCACTGTGTTTCCACCCCTGGGGCAGTCAGTTCCAGGTGTACTGCATGCCCCTCCAGGTGAAAGCAAACTGTGGCCAGCCCTCTCCTGCCAAAGGAATGGAGAAAAACGCATTAGCAATGTCAATGGTGGCACCACTTTGCTGCCTTAGACTCCAGTTCATACTGAAGCTCCAGCATGTCTGCCACAGCGGCACTCAACGATGGGGTAATTTCATTCAAGCCATGATAGCCCACTGTCAGTCTCCATTCTCCATTGGGCTTATGCATGAGCCAAATGTGGGTTGTTGAAGGGTGAGCAATTCTTGCTGACCACTCCTTGGCTCTCCAGCTTGCAGATCATCTTATGGATGGGGATCATGGAGTCTTGGTTTGTGCGATATTGCCCACAATGCGTTGTTGCAGTGGTGATTGGCACCTTCTATTCTTCAACCTTTAGCAGTCCCACAGCAGAAGGATTCTCTGAGAGGTCAGGCAATGCATTCAACTGTTTAATCCCTTCTGTTTCTACAGAAGCTATCCCAAAAGCCCACCAATGTCCTTTTGGATCTTTGAAATGCCCATTCTTTAGGCAATCGATACCCAGGATCCATAGGACGTCTGGACTAGTCACAATGGGATGCCTCTGCTACTCCTTCCCCATCAAGTTCGCTTCAGCTTCCACCACTGTCAGCTCTTGAGAATCCCCTGTCATTCCAGTAATTGAAATAGACTCCACGCCCACATGCCCTGATGGCATTAGAGTGCATTGTGCACCAGTGTCAACCAAAGCTCTGTATTCTTGTGGGTCTCATGTGCCAGGCCATCAGATCCACACAGTCCAATAGACACGGTTATCCTGTGCCTCTACCTGGCTAAAGGCAGCGTCCCTCTAATGCTGGTCTTGGTAATCATGGTTTTCTCCCTGTGAGTACATATGGGAGGTGTCTTCTAAGGGATCAGACATGTTATCGTCACTCTGGTTCTGTCTAGAGGCTTGCCCACGGGAGACTGGGGCTACATCCATCCTCGTGGAATTGCTTCTGGCCATTTTTCCTTTTAACTCCCGTGCCCATGTTGATAAAGCAAAGTTGGGTTTTCCACTCCATTTACCAATGTCTTCCCCATGTTTGCATAGGAATAACCACAGGTTGCTCCACGTGGTGTACCCCCTCTCCCTAGCCAGGGGACACCTGCTTCAGATAGCAGGGGCCTCAGTTTGCACTGGCAAGAGACATGGACAATGTTGTCTTTAAACTCCCCTCTGAGTTTTTTGTGGTCATTTTTTACTTCCTCAGTTAGTGCTCAGAGGCCTGCAACTAATTTTTCTACAGAAGAGATAGGGGGCCATAACAGGGCATGGACAATCACATTATATGTCCTGAGTTTACTCAAGATAGTGCCCACTCTTTCTTGGTTTTCCTTCCAGTGCATTGTCACCAGGAAATTAGCATATATGGGTGGCCCTGCACCCGAGGTTCCACCACATCTGTGATGTGCACTTGACCTCATCAGGGTCTCTATTGGATTGCCTGTCCCTTGCGAAAAGTATCTCTAACAGTGCCATTTCTCTCAGGCATCGGATCCCATCTTCCATGGTCTCCCAGGTGCAAAGATGATGCCCCTGCAGGTCATCTCTGTAAACAAACCTCTCTCTTATGCTTCTTGAAAGCTGTGCCCAGAGATGAAGGGGTTCTGACTCCCTTACAACCCCCTGGTTAATACCCGCATCCTGAGACAGGGATCCTAAATACCTTGCTTCGGTACCATCAAGCAGCGCAACTTCACCCATAGGATCCCAGACTCAAATCAAACAAGATAGAATGGGTTCATCCAGTCATCAAGTGATGTCTTTCCTCAGGTTGTGGAGATTAACAAATGAAAGGGATTTGGTGATTATTTCTGACTCTGGGTCTGTTATTTGTGAGAGTCTTGCCTCCCCATCATCGTCTACCTGGTGAACTGATTTGGTCTTATATTTTCTCTTTTGGATAGGGGCAACTTCTATTGGCCTGGGTTGTCCCTCTGGTTTTGTTACACTTTGAGTTGCCATGGTGTCAGGTGTTTTGTTCCCTTTCTTTTCCTCCTGGAGGTGTTGCACCATACTGAGCAGCTTTCGGTAGGCAGTGACCAGGGCTCCACATGCAACCGCAAGCTACCCCTCCATAGATCTACCGTGGCACTTTTCCTTCACCAATCTCATCACCTTGACAGGGTCCTGCAGTTGTTCAAGGGTGAACTTCCAGGTCATTGGAGTAGAAACATTCTCCAAGAACTTACCCATGTCCTCCCACAACCCATGCCACTCAAAACTATCCACTCCTGGGGTAGGCTTCCGGACACATTCCTGATAGATCTTGGTCCTACCTTCATACATAAGAAAGAGCATCAAAATGCAAACTGCCAAACATACCACAAAGAGTAAGGTATCTCTAACATCTAGAGAGAATTTAAACTATTCAAAAACTGTTGTGGCGGACCTGAAGGAGAAATGGGTGAAGAATTGGGAGAAAACGCTCCCCTGCGTTCCTCCCCCAGATTGGGTGCCATTATCATGAAACCCCCAATGATAACAGCTTAGGTTAGGGTAGGAAAACAACCCTGAAAACACATTCCAAAGGAGACTTATAGGCATTGAATTTACAACCCCACAAATCCAAGTTACAAACTTAAAAATAGCCACAGCTACCTTGCTTTTAGAATCCATTTTGAGATAAACACCTATGAATGGGAAATACATATGCAGGAATACATGCCAAATAAACAGGAATAAATCAAACAATATGATGCCTGAGGGGTTCTATATCCAATACACAAATGGTTTATTCAAAACTGTTATTCTTTTTCCACTTTTTCACTCATTGTCTCACGTTGAGTGTCCAATTACTGTCTTGGTTTACTGATGATATGTCCCAGGAGGCAGGACCTCTGATGGAATAAAAACACTCCCCCCTCCAAAATGACAATTTTTTTTGAAATTACAAAGCATTCAAGTGAAGTATGAAAATTAATAAGTTTTACTAAAAATGGAGAACAAAACAGAACAAAAGAAAAAAACAAACAATAACAGAAAAGAATGCCACCTACAACCACTCTTTCAGTGTATGCCTTTGAGATGGCAACGCAGTCCCGACAGAGGTCATGTTCAGACCTGGGAGGGGGGAGTACTGGTGTGCAGAGTGGTGCCAGCGGTGCTACTCCAAGGCAGTAGGGGCAGTAGCAGTGGCGGCAGCAGTCAGTGGAGGCAGCGGCGGCAGTCGCAAGCGGCACTACTCCAGGGCAGTAACGGCAGCAACAGCAGCAGGGACCATTGCAGTGGCTTCGAGCAGCGGGGAGGCAGCAGGGACAGTTCCAGGTGGCAGGGATGATTGCCCCAACTTCAAGCAGAGGGGAGGTTGCAGGGACAGCTGCTGCAGCACAGGCAGCACGGCTCGAAGGTGCAGCCCAGCTGAGCAGCAACAGCATCAGCGAGGTGGGAAAACTGACCAGAGACCAGAACCACAACGAGAGACAGAGAGGAGCTCAACTGCTCTTCTGCCCTCTGGAACCAGAGAGAGCGTGTTCTGGTCCTGCTAGCAAGTTTATCCTGTTAAGTTCTCACTGTATTTCCTGTTGGGACCCTTCATCCCTCCCTGCCCCCACCCGTTCACAGGGGAAGAAAGGGGAGGTGTCCCCTTGCGCTCTCCAAAACCATGTGATGATGTGAAAACATTAAACAAGAAAATCTTCTTCATTTAGCTAAACCATAACACTATGTAATACTATCTATTCTAGTAACACAAACCTAAATGGATTTAATTTTATTCAAAGGGCCTAAAACCTGATAACACCGAAAACCATAGCAACATGCATGTTTAGCTTCAACAGGAGCCAGATCAGGTCTGTACCAACAGTTCTACAGTTTACTATCAACAGTAAACCCTCACTGAATACATTTCACATTCTTCAGCATTTGGAACAAGAATTCCAGGTACAACATGTGCCAACAGAAATGCCTTGGCATAGACAGCAGGAGGTCTGGAGGGCCCACTTGCACCAAGGTTTAAACAATCAATGACGAACAATTAAATTGCTTACTGGGTAGGCAGGCAGAAGTCCTCCAGGTCCCACAATATACTGGTTATGCAACAAAGGTGGTACACCTTGAGGCAGATTTGGGGGAGCTTTGCCTGTAGAATCAAAATATAGACACTTTATTAAGTCTTTAGAAAGAAAAGGTTTCAGCATTGAGACAAGATAGCTCATGAGCCCTGGCAGCTGCATTGTCTTAGCTTGTAAAGAGCAGAACTACGCAGAAGAATTTTGTGCTGGTTGATGAAAACACTCAAAATAGCCTGGAGAGTTTACCCATGCCTCAAGGAAGGGAAAGCACAGGCTACTTAAGACTGAAAACAGTCCCATCAGAAAACAATCTGATTTTGTTATTTACTCTGTCCAAGAGAATTACAAGAATTACAGGAACTTCTCCTTTCCTTGGTCATCTCCTGAAGGCAAAATTCAGGTACTGTTCTCAGTCTAAGAGCAAATTATCTCCTTTCATTTTCTGCTCTGTCAACACATTGCAATAGACTGGAAAGCACTAAATGTTGCCAGCATACTTTTTGTGGGTGACTTACTGCAGATGAGAATAGCAAAGAGGAGATTGAAATGGTTTCAGTTGCCTACGTGAAGGAGTTCTAGGAAGCAGAAGAGTAAAAAAAAAGCACTTTGACCAGTCATCAGACACTTTATTTACAAGCTATGGAAATGACAAATTCTTCTGTAAGTATGTGTCATCTTAATGTTTAAATCATTCGCTTCCCTCCATAGGATTTCCTTTTAGTAGTTCAAGTTGATTAAAGAAAAAGAATTTAGCATTGCTTTCACTTCAGTGTAGAAAGCCTCCCAACCTTCTCTGTGGTTCCTTTCTCTGAAGTGCTATTTTCTGTGGAATGACACAGACATCACACCTTTTTCCTTTCTCTAGATGTGGCAGTAGGGATGTGGCATATCATAATAAGGACACTGCAGTATAGTTTGATACTGCCAAATGAATTCAAGTCACAGAGAAGACTGAAATTAAAGTTAATGTGAACTCACAGCCAAGAGCTGGAGTACAAAAAGGGTGAATCTCCTAGTCCAAAACTTCCAAAGTCAGAACTGCTCTGGTTTCTATTTTTAAAGCTCTTTGGGGATGGAATATGCTACACAAATGCCACATAGCATCCTAACAAATATTTCAAATACACAAACCCAGGCAACTTTATTTTATAACTCAGCAAATAAAGCATGCTGAAAATGCTAGTCAAGAGTATGGATTTCTTAGTGTAGCTATGGCTGGCAAGATGCTCAACTGACAGCCCTGCTGACTGAAGTCCTCTGTCTATCCACATCATCTATTAATATTGCAAACCTGAAGACACTAAGGGAGTTGCCCGTGTGGTAGCAGACACACTGGTAACACTCAGGCCAAGGCTGACTGTAGTGTTCATACTGCTTGCCATGCTGACAACTGAGGAGGTGGTGCTAGTGGCTGAGGTTGAAGCAGTTGAAAAGGTTGTTGAAGGCTGGAGCAAAGTTGTGTTCTCAACGCTAGTGTGCTAGAAAGGAGACAAAAAGAATGAGGATCACGGAGCAAATGAGGCACAGTGAAAGATGCTGGGGGGAGGGAACAAAACTAAAAATCAAAACCAACAGTCTTTTAAGTAACAGCAGTACATGTAAAAAATAATGCATTATCTATGTACAAGGCAAGCAAATAAGTTGCATGATTGCGATTTTTAAGTATTCAAAGAAAATTATTACATAAGAGTTAAATTCAAACCAATGTATTATCACAAAATTATACCACAGTAACTCAAATGTCACTCCATTTCATTATTTCTTGCCCTTTTTGCTTGTATACTCCTCTAAGCTAGTATTTGTTATGTTAAATAAACTCCTATGTTCTTCCAAAAGACAGTATTTGTTTTCAAAATACAGGACACTGCTATTGTGATTTCCTCAATGCATTTGTGGAATTTAAAAGATTAAAACTGCAGTGCCCCACAATAGAGTCAATGTGGTAAACCAAAACGCAGACCAAATGTATTACAGGAACCCATGAGGATAAAGGAGTTCCTGGTTTGAATCCACCACAATACAGTGCCTTAGCTGTAAGGTGATCACACCTGCAAAACAGTGTCATCAACACACAGAAGCCAAAAAGAACTCTGACAACAGAAAAGAAGGACATTTGGATAAGGGTGATTTTTTAAGTTATATATACAGCAGAGATGGAGAACTACCAAAATTCAAGAATAAAGAAAAGCAGTAACCTATCTGCACACCCCAACTGGGATTGTACAGACAGAGCAAGGCAGCATGTCTCTGACTTTCATTTGTGCAACCTCATCTACAGCACTGTGTTCACTACCATTTGTCTTGTTATCTCTAATGCCTTAAATACACAGATGGCAATGTCACATGGTAAACTCTAAAATCATCTGTCCTGAGGCATTTTTCATGACATGCATCATTCCATCACCTGCATTTTGCCAGTTAACCTCTCCAGTGGAGACTGCTAACAGTCCACATTTTAGAGCAGTTTGAGACAGCCACTTCTTAAGTTTTGTTTTTTTAAACATATTTGTTATAAGAAATTTTTTCTTTATTCTATCCCCCCTTGCTGGCACAAAAATTTCCTCTACAGTTGTGTGACTGGCAAGTCTCTAATAGCTATTCCTGATCTAGTACAAATCACAAGTGGTAAAGACTTTTTTAACACTAGAGAGTTGGCAGTCCTCCTTCCCTGAGATAAAGCTCTTGTTTCAGTTCTTAGCATCAGATAAACTGACTATATGCCAAACATCTGTGGAAATGCAAATAGGACTTACCACATGTGATGTGCTTGAAGACAACACTGAGGCAGGGGAGAGGCTACTCTGATGATTGGAAAGGGAACTAGAAAGAATTTGCAAAGAGTTAATAAAATTATTTTTTCCTAAAACATTTTTAATATATATCTATGTATATATATACACATATATATACAAACACGGAGTAGGTAGCAGAATATTAAAGAATAAAAATCGTAGGTATGTGTATACACATACACACATAGTAGAATATTAAAGAAAAACTTGTCTGTAGGAGTGTGTATATATATGCACATATATATATATGTGTATATATACACACACCCCTACAGATATATTTCCTTTAAATAATATCCTACTACCATTTAATGAAAAAAATGAAGTACAGAGAAAACTATTTCCATCTGTCCAACAGTACCAATCCTCCAACTAAAATTTCTACCAATGTACACAGCTTTTCAACAAACAAATGTCGGGAGAAGATGTTTTCAATGTAAATGGATTAATTCTTGTTATTTGACACATTTACCATTTTATTCAACAGAAAACACTAGTGTATTAAGAGACCATGTCCTAGTTGTGAAACACAAAAAACACTGTGATAGCCCATAAAATAAGTTTCTTATATTAACAAATACGGTACAAAGGTGAGTTCTCCAGGATGAAGGATCACCGCCTCCCTAAGATCCTGCTTTATGGAGAACTTGCCACCGGCTGCTGCATGAGAGGAGCCCCGAAGAAAAGATACAAGGACTCCCTGAAACAACATCTCAGCCTTGGCCATATTGATCACCATAACTGGTCTACTCTGGCTTCCAATCGGGAGGCCTGAAGACACACCATCTATAACGCAGCTGTCTCCTTTGAGAACACACACAGGATCACTCTCGAGGAGAAAAGGTAATGCAGAAAGAACCGTGTCTTGCGGAATACACCATCTAAGGAGTCTTTCTGCTGTGCCTTTTGCAATCGGATATGTCTGTCACGTATTAGCTTCATAAGCCACCAGCGTGCCTGTAACAAATGTGGATAGAGCCTTCCCAAATCTTCGTTCGCGAAGCCTAGCCATGACAAAGGTGAGTATTAAAACATAACCAGTATAGCCTCAGGATGTCACCTGCCAAAGGACAAAGCTCGAGTAACAGGCACTGAAAAATCAGACAGTGCAAATGAGCTAAGCTGTGCTAAATGCACTTCCAGGAACACCAATCTGATATTTCAAAGTGTCTTAAATAAATGTCTTAGAAAAAGACACACACTTTCCCTGTGAAATTATTTCTATTTTCTAATTTTAAGAAATTTAAATATAAATGAAAATACAATATTTCAAAATTAGTCAGGAAGTAAATTATTAGGGAATTATTTCAAACATATGACGCTAAACAAAGAGCAGGCAATGCAGGCAAAGTAGGAAAAACAAAATGAATTTAGGTGACATCACTGAAGCAAGAGCTCCTTGAAACACAAAGGTTTTTTATATACCATGAAAACTTGAGGGCAGTAGCCCAGAGCTCATACCTTGCAACCAGAAATATCCTGATCTCTTCTGAATCTCTCTCCTAATTCTAGTTAATGTCAGAAAAGGAGACCCTTGTGCCTGACAGCCCCATACACAATCACCCTTACATCTGTCCTTTCCCCACAATTGAACCCCTTTCAGTTTATCATAACTCCTACTGTACCTGCTTAACTGGGAGAGTGAGTTGCTAGCCAGATCACTGGACTGAGGCAAGCTGCACAACGTTGCTGCATGCTGCGATGCTGAAGGCAGAAGCGAAGCAGTGGTGGACACCATGCTGGGCAGAGAACCAGCAGAAGGTAGTGAGGGAGAAGGTTCTGTCTTAAGCACAGGAATTGATGAAGTAGCTGCAACAAGTTAAAAATAGACATTCAAAGACAAATTCCAGCATATTTGACATCCCAGTCTGGATCCAGGAACACAACAGTGTTGTCCCCTTAGTTTAAAAAACCCTGACCGTTAAGAACCAGTAACAGTATCAAGAATCAGGTTATTAATGAAAATTCAAACAGCAACAGAACTATATTTTTTTCCCTTTAAGCTGTTCACCTACAATAGATTTATAAAATTTCAATGCTACATGTGTAGCAAACTTCTGCACCTGGAGAAGAGAAAGCTCCGGAGAGACCTTGTAGCAGCCTTCCAGTACCTGAAGGGGGCCTACAAGAGAGCTGGAGAGGGACTTTTTACAAGGGCATGTAGAGATAGGACAAAGGGGAATGGCTTTAAACTGAAGGAGAGTAGGTTTAGGTTAGCTATTAGGAAGAAACTCTTCCCTGTGAGGGTGGTAAGACACTGGTACAGGTTGCCCAGAGAATCTGTGGATGCCCTGTCCCTGGAAGTGTTCAAGGCCAGGCTGGATGGGGCTTTGAGCAACCTGGTCTAGTGGAAGGTGTCCCTGTCCACAGCAGGGGGGTTGGAACGAGATGATCTTTAAGGTCCCTTCCAAACCAAGCCATTCTATGATTCCATGAACTAAGAAAATTATCAGTACATACAGAAGTGAAAATGTCAAAGAAGACATTGTTAAGACAATGTTAAGAGAGAATTACAAAATAGTTTGCATGCATGAAATAGTTACATGTAAGAAGACTGATTCTAGTTTATGTGCTGGAGAAACAGAAAAAAACAAAAGTGTTCTCAAAGAGGAACTGGCACAGAAAAGGGGACTAATAAAAACGTTAGAGAATAATTACAAAAATATTAGGAATTCTCAGATCTTTGCGTTCCATAGCAAAAAGACAAGTCCTGTAGTGAATTTCATAAATTGTTTATTAATTCTGTACACAAGTTTTCCACTTGAAAAGTTATTTTTATATATAACAATCTTTCAAGTGGTAACTCTTTGGGCATATACACTTTTCCTGTTCATTTAAATTGAAGTTAGTACTAACAAAACATTGTTTATAGGTTGGAATGCTCAACTTCTTTCTACTCAGAAGTATAAGAAAAAAGGTTGCCCTACTAATGACCTACCTGAAGAGATGCTTAAGAGGAAGATAGACTTAAAATTGAAGTGTTGGAATTCCAAAAGATGTTAATCCACACTGCAGCCCTTGAAAACTTCCACAGAGCAGAACATAAAGGTCAGAATATTGAATACTATAATTTAATTATTTTAACTCCAGGAAGAGAGTTGTAGGGGTGGTACAAGTAAAATACCACATTAGAAAGTGACCAAGATGAAGATAACAGTTGATATCTGAGTTTTGAGATGTAACAAGAACTAATAGTTTTTGCAGCAGAATGTAACATAGAAACTCCATATAGCTGAGTCAAGTGATTTAAAGGGACTAACCAAGCAAAGTAAGGAAACAGTGAAGAAGGGAACTGAGGCAGCAGCCAAGCAACACCAAGTTACTCTATAACCAGGCGTATTGTCTTAAAGAAGTTCATAAGGAAGTCACTTCGAACTTTGGGGGCTCCAGACATGAGATCCCCAATGAAGCCCCTCAGAGACTGTAATGGTTTGGTCTAGGCCTCTTCCTGGCAACCAGGTCTAAACTAAGGAAGTACCATATCCCAGTATTCCATTCTATTTCTTTACGTAAGCAGACATGTAAATAGGAGGGGAGAGAAGGTCGAGCCCTTTCTTCTTTTCTGGCGTACTTGGAGAAAAGTAGCCCTCCCTGCGGCTCCTCCAGTCATGGGGCTGTGGGGTCTGTGGTTTGTCGATAGGCTGCTGCCTTCTTTCCGAGTTCGAGAAGGAGATGCAGTGACCGTGGATTGAGACGTTTGTGTTTTCTCAAGGAAAGTATTAATATTTCATTTGTTAGTTCTTTATTATTGGGTATATCTGTTTTTTCTGTTTTCGAGTGTTGGGAGTTTCTTTCTTATGTGTATGGGATGCAGGAACTCCTGGGAATATTTGTCTTTGACATACTGGTCTGTTCACATCTGGAAAGTGAAAGTGGACAGAGTCCCAAATGCAAGTTGTCACTGCTTCCTGGGAAGCTTCCAGTAGTGAGAGGTACTGGTGGCTGCTGATACAGTGAGTTGGGGGAGGGGTATGTGCATATCTTTTTAAATTTAATTCAATTTCTGTGAGGGAAAAACTGCACGCAGGTACCCCAGATACCAGGCTATTTAGAAAATTTTATTTCTGAAAGCCAAAACCAGTAACAGTACGGTGCTAAGCACTGGGCATGAAAAAATGCCCGCTCTTGTTCTCTCGGGGTCTTTTTTATAGCACACTTGGCCCCCCCCGCAGGGCCTTCAAGCATGTCTGTGAGAGTTTGTCTTGTAACAGGGAGTCAACCTCCATGGCAGGCAGGAGTAAGAGAAAACACATAAAATTATTCATGGGAAAATGTTTTTTTCCCAGGCAGCAAAGCTTCCTTGAGTAAGCATTAACTCTTTCCTCCTCGAGTAATTCTTCTGAAGATTTTTCTACACTTACAATTTCTTAATGTCTATGTTGATGCTGTAAATTCTCACTGTGTTGTGTTTTGGGTTTTTTGTTTGTTTTGGTTGGATTTGTTTGTTTGTTTTATTTTTGGTGTGTATGTCATGTCATGGTTGGGCTTCGCAAACGAAGATTTGGGAAGGCTTTATCCACATTTGTTACAGGCACGTTGGTGACTTATGAGGTCAACACGTGACAGACATATCCGATTGCAAAAGGCACAGCAGAAAGACTCCTTAGATGGTGTATTCCGCAAGACACGGTTCTTTCTGCATTACCTTTTCTCCTCGAGAGTGATCCTGCGTGTGTTCTCAAAGGAGACAGCTGCGTTATAGATGGTGTGTCTCCCGGTCTCCCGATTTGAGGCCAGAATAGACCAGTTATGGTGATCAATATGGCCAAGGTTGAGATGTTGTTTCAGGGAGTCCTTGAATCTTTTCTTTGGGGTTCCTCTCTTGCGGCAGCCAGTGGCAAGTTCACCATAAAGCAAGATCTTAGGGAGGCGGTGGTCCTTCATCCTGGAGACGTGCCCTGCCCATCGCAGTTGTGTTCTCATCAGCATGGTCTCTACACTTGTGACTGCTGCTTGTTCAAGAACAGATGTATTGGTCACATAATCTGACCAGTGGATGTTTAAGATTGTACGGAGGCAGTGTTGATGGAAGCGTTCTAGGAGACACAGGTGGTGGCGGTAGATGACCTATGATTCGGAACCATACAAGAGAGTAGACAGCACTATGGTTCTGTAAACACTGATCTTGGTACTTTTCTTCAAGTGTTTATTACGCCATACTCTTTTGTGGAGTTTTCTGAAAGCACTGTATGCCTTTGCCAACCTGTTGTCGATCTCCCCGTCAATCTTACCATCTGAGGAGATGAGGCTGCCTAGGTAATTAAACTGCTGGACTGATTTGAGCTCTGATTGGCCAATGGTGATGTGGGGATGATGGGGGACTTCCTGAGGTGCAGGTTGATGGAGAACCTCTGTCGTAGGGAGATAATGCGGTCAGAGTGACCTGTTGGCAGATTTTCGAGTTTGGGAAGAATAGAGTTTTTGATCATGAAGCCGACACCTGAGAGATGTTTCTCGGTTCTGGGCTTACCTGACCAAAAGAGTGTGTAACCGGCACCATGTTCTCTGAGGTTTCCTTCCTCGTGAAGGCGAACTTCACTGAGAGCAGCAATGTTTTGGTGTGTATATAAATGTAATATATGTAAATATATATAAATTTTGCATTAGTTCTGTTATCTTGGTTCTCTTAGGTTTTTTGGTTTTTTCCTTTTCCCTTGGTTTTTGGGGGGGAAGTTTTTGCTGTGGTGTTGGGAACTTGGTGGGGAGTCAGCTCCAAACCGCCACAGGATATGTATATATGCTAATAAGAGTCGGTAAATGTCATGAATATGTAACAAAAATGTGGGGAACAATAAATGAATAACCATGTAATGTATAAACTGTAGTGGAGACACCTCTGCGTGCACTTTGGGAAATGATTCCCAGGGTACCCAGTGTGCTGTGATCATGCAGCGCGTCGTAATAAAAGAATGCCTGGCTTCTAAAACTCACTAATCGAGTCTTAGAGATTTCTTTAAGAGTTGATTTTAGGCAACAAAGTAATGCCTGTATCAGAACCAGTACTGTGTTATTGTTACTCCACTGCAAGGCAGCAAGGTACCTGACAGAGCTTCTAACAGGGCACAAGTAGCACTATACCCAGTGAGAGCTGCATTCAGACTATGTGACTTTGTGTCATTACAGTTAAATGCTACTCAGAGCTTCCCAACTGAGAATTGGAAGAATTACTATGAAATTTGATATTAATTTTTAATTCTATAACTTTTTAAATTTTATATTAATTTGTGGTAGATAAATTCAAAAGAAAAAGCAACAGTAAAGCAGCTTCTTTAATTCTAAGACTGCTTAGGTTTGTAGATTTAATAGAGCTGCTTTCATACTTCAGTTTTAGTCAAGCAGCAAATAGTATATCCTATGCAAATACAAAATAAACTCAAAAGTCAGTCAAAAAATAGCCAGTGCGAACAAAAAAACAGCCAGTGAGAACAATATAAAACCTTAAACCAGATGTGACTGCTATAGTTGTGCGCAGAGCAAGTATTAAGGAAAGGTCAGAAAGCCCTGTGCACAACCAAGCTTTGTAAACTTACTGTCAAGAGTTGCTTGTGTTCTAACACTGCTGTGCCCATTCTGTAAACAAAGGAGAAATGGATGAATAAATTATCCTACAGGTACATTAAATTTTCAGACCGAATGACACACAGAACATGCTTCATGCAAAATTCTATATTCAATTCTAAATTGAAAGACCAAAAAGACAGAAAATTAACTTTTTTTACAGTCTTTAATAAAACCACATAATAAAGTTGTCTCAAGTGCAAGGTGTCCTGAACATACAGAATCCCATACACTGCCCATAATACACCCATCAGCAGGACACCATCCCATGTACTGTATATAACACAAACTTCAGATTCACACCAATATGAAAGAAAGAATTGCATTAACATATAGGAAATGGTTGTGCTTTTGATTTAATGCAACTCACAATTTTAACTATCCAAGTTACACAGAGATGCTAATTTTTTCAATTGAAAGATAAGACTTGAGAGGCACCAATTGCTGTTTGGATAACGCTGGAGTACAGAAGTAGATAGTCTATGCTTGATCCTCACCAGTACATATGAGCTAGTGCAGAAGACAAGTGTGACAGCCATTACATAACAAAGGCCAGGAGTAAATAAACTTACAAACTCTCACAAGTTCCTTAAATATTTGATAAATTCTCTTAAACAAACCTACATTCCATATACAAATAGAGTAGGTGCTTTTGAATACTCCTGAGACTCTCTCTGTCCTAGATTAAATCCCTCTCTATGTTTTTTAAAATAAAAGATGAAACTAATTCCCGCTGCCATTTACATCCAACAAAAGAGTAATGCTGGAAGGGTCAAAACCAGTTTGGGATCTATTTGCTAGGTGCCATATTAATTTAATAAATAATATGCCTTTGGATAGAAATTGTCAAGTTATGGTAAAATACCATGACTAATATTTACATACAGAGATAGTTCCTTTTTTAAAAACTAAGCTTCAGGGAAGGAAACTCAACTAGAATGTTGTGTTATTAAGAATAAACGTCAAACAGTAATTTAAGACGTCAAAACCCATAAAAGCAGAGGCTCTTATATATCAAATACAAAAAACGGCTACACAATAGGAAAAGAAAAAACAACAGAGTGTACTTGAGAATCAAAAAATACCACTTGGCTTGGTTAAAATATTACTATATCTGGGTAATACAAGTTTAATATGGATAAGAATATTTCCTCTTTTTCAAAGTCTTATTTCTGAAATTCACTCACTGTATCTGCAACAGGGGTTGGTTCAGACGGAGTCATGGAGCTTTGGTACGCTATCCTACTATGCACAGAAGTCTGGTCATAGGAGGAAGTTGTTACTGGGATGGTGCTCTGGGATGAGCAGGTCAGACTGGAAGAACTGATGGCAGAGGTTGTGTAGGTGGAGTCCTGTACTGTATTGGATATTGGCAAAGAGGTATTCAAAGGATCACTGGAAAAAGTAAAAATTATTTATCAAAATGGTAAATGACATCTCAAACACCTTTGTGAAAATATCAGCTCCTATATAGTTATCTAGAACTACTTTAAACATGTAGTCAAATCTACATTATTTATACTAGAAAATCTAATAATGAGAAAAAATATATAATTTTCCTTTGGTCCCCAGTAATCACTGATTATAAACCATCACCTGCACTAAGCACCATTCATCTTCCTCCTGCCAGCCCAATGAAAACAAGAGTTTACAACACAAGCACTTTTTGGTCATGTTATTTCCACCTTCTCAAATGATATATTTATGAACATAAACTCAATTTTTTAAAAAAGTAGATCCATAAAGTCTGGTATATGATGAGAAACACCCAGTCTCTTTTTACAATAGAATTCTGTCATTAAAGTAGCTGTCTAACAGAATTATGCAAAGAAGAAATGTACTTTAAAATGCAGGATTGTTTTACTTTCTAAACAGGTTTTTTTTTTTTTAGTTTATAGAACTAGAAATTAATGTGAAAATTCATTTTTAATAATATTTCTGAATTAGCTTCAGAAAACTTCTTATTGAAGCCAATTTTTGAATGAATAAGGAAGAAAAAATGGGTTACTGGTACGCTGGCATTTATCATTGACCATTTTAGCATTTCAGTAAGAGGTTCTACATACTGAAAGACTGGCTTCTTTTCTCATCCCAAAGAAGCATCAGATTTGTAATCTGGTGCCAATCTACTAATACACATATATGGTACAAAGATCATCTCTCCTCAACCAAAAGCAGAAAAAAAATCATGCTGTGAGGAACAAACCCTTAAAATATTTGAAAATCAGGACGATTAAACACGAGAAAGCAATTCTACAAAGGGTAGCTTAATTATAAAATTATTTACATTCATGTCATCTCCAGTTTCATATCAACCCATCCAGGGAGATTTTGATTGTCATTGGAAAATAAATTTCTCCTTTAAGATGCCATCCACAGAAAACACTTCACAGAATCAGAATCGATTAGGTTGGAAAAGACCTCTGAGATCATTGAGTCCAAACTGTGACCTAACACCACTATGGTCAACTAGACCAGAGTGCTAAGTGCCACATCCAGTCTTTCCTTAAACAGCCCCAGGGAAGGAGACTCCACCACCTCCCTGGGCAGTCCATTCCAACATCTAATCACCCTTTCTGTGAAGAAATTCTTTCTAATGCCCAACCTAAACCTCCCCTGGTGCAGCTTGAGGCTATGTCCTCTTGTCCTGTCACTAGTTGCATGAGAGAAGAGGTTGACCCCCACCTGGCTACAACCTCCTTTCAGATAGTTGTAGAGAGTGTTGAGGTCCCCCCTGAGCCTCCTCTTCTCCAGGCTAAACAACCCCACTTCCCTCAGCCACTACTCATAGGACGTGTTTCAGACCCTTCACCAGGGATTCGCTCCAGCATCTTAATGTCTTTCCTGAATTGAGGGGCCCAGAACTGGACACAGCACCTGAGGTGTGGCCTCACCAGTGCTGAGTACAGGGGAAGAATCACTTCTCTGGTCCTGCTGCCACACAATTGCTGATACAGGCCAGGATGCCATTGGCCCTCTTGGCCACCTGGGCACACTGCTGGCTCATGTTCGTTCACCTTACATATCATCATATTTCCCCCTCCCATTACATGGTAATTGTGCCTTGATGTTTTTGGCAGTTTTGACCCCTTAAAGAAGACATGCAAGGAGGCAGGAGGGGAACTCACACATACTTTAGAGATTTTGTGTACAAGCTATTGTTGGTTGCCTGGCTGGTATTCTCACTGCTTGAAGTTGATCCTAATTCTGGGAGTGCAGGTTCTGATCCAAACTCCAAAGCTCCAAACTGAACATTTAATCCTGTCACATCTGATGATCCAGGCATTTCCACTGCAGAGGCAGGAATCTTAAAGGAGGAAAAAACCCAGCATAATTCCTTTGCATGCACTATCTGTATTAAAGATATCAGTAACTGACATCCTCTCATCCCTTAACTACAGGCTTCTTCAGTTACTGCCTCAGACTTTGCTGCTAATTAGATCTGTGACAACTCCCCACTTTACATAAATTAACTACATTCTTGTAACCTGAAATAAATTTATTGATGCTATGCCCTGATCTGGACCTGAAACAAAAAGCCATACTGTTCTACAATATCAAAGTGTCATCTGTGTCCATCCCCCTCAGCCAATATTAATCTTGTGGCTACTAAGTCAAGAGTCAAGCCAAAAGTCACAAAGCAACAGTCATTTTCCATGCAGAGCAATCAGATATGTGCTTGGAAAAGACAACACTGTATTTTGAACCTAAAAACTATTCAGTTTTGAATTTTCTGCTTTATAAACAAGAAACAGAACATGGTCTTTGCTTTCCTTCTCCCTAGAAACTTATATATAGAATCATTTAGGTTGGAAAAGACCCTTGAGATCATAAAGTCCCACCATTAATCCAGCATTGCCAAGTCCACAACTAAACCATGTCCCTAAGCACCACAT